CCCGCCGATATGAGGTTGAGGGCCCCGCGATTTAATATCGAGAACACCCGCGTAACTGGACTCTCCAACCGGATTAGCGGGATCGTTGGTGTTTTTCAACGGCAACTCGAAACCCAAAGCCCAGTGGTTTCCCGGTTTCGCGGTTTTCGACGCTGCTAACTCAAATTTCTGACGTTCGGTGCACTCGCGCTCTGATCGCTCTGCATTTCAGACGTTAGGAGGTGTCCAGGATTGTTTTATTAGAAAAATAGATATCGTATGTCGATAGAAGGATGACGAGTTAAATCGTCAATCGTAAAGCAGAGAAGCAAGCGCTTGAAATTTTTTAACGCTTTTCGTAAAACGTAAAAATTACTGTTTATCTGTAGTAAGATGAATTAAACAGTTAGTTAGAAAGTCGAAAAGCAAATAAAATTTTCCGACGCTTTTCGTAAATTATATAGAACCGAATGTAGGTACTCTTGGTGGTAACTAACCGTAGGATAAAATCCAATAATCAACCGCAAAGAGGAAAGCGATCTAACAATTTTTGTAAAATACGAAATTGAGGGTGGAAATACTTGCTGTATTCCAAATAATCATAATGACTACTGCGATAAACTGTGAACACGCAGCATCCACACGAATAAAAGATTCTTCTTAATCCATTAATTTAGAAAACAAAAGTTTCACTATGGAAACTCGGGGGAATAAGAATTTACAACGTAAGAAGGTCCCACTTGATAATATGATATAGGTATCGAAACTTGAAAAATAGAAGATATAAATATAGAATTGAGTAGTTTCAGTACCTAATCGAAAATTATACAGTGACTAGTAGATTAATCGAGTGCAAGTAAATTAAATTATGTATCATTTAGTAGTATAGGACTATAAAAATTCGATACTGTGAAGATGAAATATAAAACCTGATAAAAACAATGCTTCGTTGAAAAATAAGATAACCTGCAAATACTTTTTGTAGCCACTACATTATAAATTGTATTTTCTATTTTTAATTATAAAAATTAAAGAACATTGGATGATGAGTATTCCAAAAATACAGAACACACGATATCTGAAAATTTTTGATTTAGAATTTCTCGCAAAGTCACAGATGATTGGTTCTGTCTTGGCTCGTTATTATCAGAAGCTTCGTGGAAAATCGGCACGTCATCGAAATGTTGACACGTCACAGACGTTTCCTTGGAAGTGTTCTCTCGATTCTTTAGCTTGGTCGATCGAAAACAGCAGACACGACGGTATACACTGCACCGACATACGCTACAATGAAGCTTCACTTTCGAAAATCAAACAGAGAGAACCGCTGGGTCGGCGCATCCTCGCAGCTGCACTGTTTGTACGAACGTGCAAACAATGGAACTACCCATTTCCTGTGCGAATATATCCTGACGATAGCCAGCCGGTCGCGGACTTGCCGCCAGGCAAACACGTACGATTGACGCGCGCGGATCTCCGCTCGAAAGATCGATACTTCCCTCCTCGATCTTCGATGTTTCTTCCCCCACATCGTATCAATCGATGCCCCGCTACCCATCAGTCTTTCTCATTTGCTCGAACAATCGTCTATCTCTTCAAAAATAAACAGATATTCTGCATTTTGTGAAGAATAAGAAAAAATTTGGAACTACACGTTTGCTCATGAAATCTCACTGAATGTTAAGATCTAGAGCCTCTTTCAAATATCTTTCAAATATCGTTCAAATATCTTAGAGCCTCTGCTCCTCAAATCTCAGTATCCAACTTCAATTCTCGCATTTTTTAAATTAAAAATTTTCTTGCTCTGCAAGTTCATACTCTTCAGAAGAGTTTTTGTACAAAAATTTTTGTTTTCCAAATTAGGAAATCAAGCGGAATCCTACTTCCTGCGCTTAGACTAAGAACCGAAGCTGCTGGATGAGTAATTAATAATTAGATAATTATAGAACTTTGCTATAAGGTAAGCTGGCTGTCAATTGTTTTATATCTTCTGTTTTTCAAATCCCAATATTCAATATTTCTAAATTAAAACATTTTATTTCTCAGAATGTCTACTGCAATAAAAATTATACCCTTAAAACACAGAACGAACTTTCCTACATTCGGAATTTTCATATCTCTGAATTTCTATAGCGAGGTGTATGTTTTCTATAATGTCAACGTATCGAAATATAATATCATTGATCTGAAACCGTGAAATGGGAAGAGAACGAATATAACCACCGTGGAGCATCGAAGCGCATTAGGTTGACGGAATCAGAACGAAAACGACGGAACGTTGCAGCCTGGCGCCATGGTAGCCCAACAGTCTGTCGCTTATTTGAATAACAGCAACGAGATTCGCGGAATGAATCGCGCGAACTGGCAGAGAAGTAGCGGTATTCAGCGGCGAACGATCGTCGACGAGACGGTGACAAACAGCGATACGGTGGAAACGTGGAAACCGGACGGCCGTCGTCGTATTGACAAACGACCTAACGCCCGTGTGGACCGTTGCGTTCGACGAGATTCGAATTATCTCTGTTGGAGCTTGTCAATGCAAATGCCATACCTACATTCAATTACCGCTCGTCACGCTTCGATCAGCGCGCGACCGGCCAACCACGGAATATTCCTGCTCGACTTCTTTTTACCATCGTCGATTTTCCCCTCGTTACTGTTTTCACGGGTCGTGATTCGATTATTTTGAACAAAACAATTTGTCTATGGCATTAATTCCAGTGGTGTATAATGTGGAACGAACGGTGAAAGATACCAAAGAAGAATATCGAATTGTTAGCGTGTCGAAGCAGCAAGGAGCGTTTGGTATTTTATTTTAGGAAAATTGAAATTCATCCACGGTGAAAGTAAGATCAAGATCTGTCTACTGTTCTTACTCTTGTTGGCGTTTTTATGGAGCTTGTTTATTTCGTTTGCTTACTTTAAATACAATAATTTTCGTATGGTGGTCAATTTTCAATAATGTACATGTGTAATTTGATGGTTGGAAAATATAAGAGGAGAATATTGAATTGTTAGTACACTGATGTGTTGGAAGTTTATTAAAATTTGGGAGAACTGAAATTTTTTCTTAATTTGGATGTCAAGTAACTATTATATATTTCCAGGATGTTAAAGAGGTGACTTATTTTAGAAGAATTAAAATTTCTCGAGAATTTAGATGCCATCTGACTAATATTTTGTCACATGTTACAATGATTAAGTATTGTAATTTAGTAGTTCAGTATTCAAGTTACTGAAATATGGCTACTTCATTCTCCTCTCTTTTTTTTTCTTTTAGATAATGTTGATCATGTTTTTCTTTTAATTAATAGTGTCTGTTTGCCATACTAAATGTTTTGCTTCTTTTCCTATATCTTTTTATCAAAACACACGAACTTCAAAAGTGTCAGTCGTGTATAATCTAACAGCAACTAAACTAATTGAAAGATTTTCGTGAAATTCTATAATGTATAATAATACGCGGAAGAAAGAATATTAGAAAGTGTTTTAGACGTCTGTTATAGCTTTCGAGACAAATGTGGAGATCTGTCAGTCAATTCAGATCGCTAGATTAGCGCAGCAGACCATGTGACAATAATGACAATAATTAATAGCTCCATTATCGATTAATGATAGTTTCTAGGGTTCGAATGAAGCACGTGCTCCATGTACTATTAACGAGGTACATATACTTCAAATCTCAAAAGTAGCAATATCCGAAAGGTGGCTTTCTTTCACAAGTAATATCCAGAAATTTACATTAGAAAAGGTATTTTGAAACTATTTCGATCTCGAACTTTGATCGATCCTTACGTGGAATTTACTGTTTCGTCAAAAGGAAAGATAGTTTTACAGTGTATGGATAGTTGGAAATATTGAGACAGAACGGTAGGAATCGAGAGTATGATAACGAGACTAATGGAAACGCAATCCGGAGCACGTGTCGTTAAAGGAAGCGAACGTGATCACGCAACGCGGCGGGATTCATCGAAAAACCGTGTTACGCGGAAATCGATGCTCGTAAAACGAGCACACGGTCGAACGACACATGGAAAACGAGCGGGTGAAACGCGACAAAAAGATCGAGCCCATTCGCGTGATCGCCGCGTCCGACCACCGACGCCCTATTCCCCTTGCAGTCAAGATTCTACACGCGGTAACTTTCCCACTTTTCCTACCGCAAATTCTTACATATTTCTATTAATTTACTTATTATTCTATTTTGAAAAATTATATATTTCAGAACATTTTTAATGTGATTTATAAATGTGATAAATATCTTTATAAAAATCAGAATTCAAGTAAATAGTAAAAGACTTTTCATTAAAATTAAAGCATACCAATGTCATATTTTTACTCTATCAATTGTATTTGATTTCTGGACCGCTACAGCTTTCTACAGTATCTAAAAGACACTCGTTCTATGAATCACTAGTTCGACGAAAAATCAAAGAAATTCTTAAGATAAAGTAATTCGTACACGGTGGCTACTGAACAGTGTTTCTATGTAGCAATTCAAAATTCGAATCACGAGCCACCTTTTATAAAAATTACAATTTATTTATGTCGTATTACGTGGTTCATCCCATAACAAAGAATCCTATCTACTATCCTATAGTGATCAGAAGACGCTCGTTCCTTAAATCAATGAATCGACAGGAAAGAACGATTAACAACAAATTTTGAATATACGATATCTCCTCCCCAGGACAATTTCCAAAGAGTGTCTTTGAAAAATATCTCGCAAAACTTAATATTCATCGTAACAACAGCACATTCTACCTATGATACTACTGTTCAGAAGCCAAGCATTCTTAAGATCATTGAGTCAGAAGGAATCTACTGGTAGCAACACTTAATTAATTATTAATAATCCTTCCACTTATTAAATAGGGTGTTTCTGCATAACAATTAAAAATCCAAATAGCAATGCACGTTTCGCTAAAATTGACATACATGAACCAACATCCTAATACACGACTCACCCCATTCAACCAACAAATTCAACCTACAGAATCCTATAGCGATCAGAAGACACTGGTTCCTTAAATCACATCCACCATAATCTACATCTTCTTCTACCTTCTCACCAAGCCGGCCGTAGTCGAAATACGCACATCGGTCGAACAACAACAACAACAACGGCACGTGTCACGAGGCGGCGTAGTGCGTAGCGCGATCGGAAAAAGGAAAAAGTTACGGCGTACCATGCGTGGAGAGCGGCGCGCGTGCTTCGAAACCGGTTCGTCGGTACGCTCGATTGGACAACAATACACGAAGAACGGTACCGGGGCACGAGCAGAAGGAGCAACAACAGCACAGCACCAACAGCAACCGTGCCGCGTGAATACTACGCCGCCCCCTCCCTCGTTCGTCGCCTCTCTCGCCCCCAAAGAGGGGTTAGCCGCCTCGTCTCTATCCCGTAGAGGG